AAACCCGGGCCGCCAGCAGCGGAGCGCGTGCACTTAACCGCTAAGCCATGGGGCCGGCCCATGATATGTGTATATTGATCTTATATCTTGCAACCTTGCTATACTCATTTATTAGCTCTAATTGTGTGGGGGGGTGGTGTGTGTGTTTGTATGTGTATTCCTTAGGGTTTTCTATGTACAAGATCATGTCATCTGCAAATAGAGAGAGTTTTACTTCTTCCTTTCCAATCAGGATGCCTTTTATTTTATTGTCTTGCCTGTTCACCCTGACTAGAACCTCCAATACGATGTTGAATAGAAGTGGCAAGAGCAAATATCCTTATCTATCCCTGATCTCAGGGGGAAAACTTGCAGAATTTCACCATTAAGGATGATGTTAGCTGTGAGTTTTTCATAGATGCTCTTTATCACAAAGATGTAATTTTAAATTTTCTAATAGCCAAATTAAAATAAAAACAGGTGAAATTATTTGTAATATATTTAATTCAATCTAAAATATGATAACATATTATCGAGGTAAAAATTGATAAGATTTTACCTTTTTTTATATTAAGTCTTCAAAGTCCTACATGTATTTTAGACTTAAGCACATCTCAGTTTCAATTAGACACATTTTAAGAGTTCAGTAGCCACATAGAACTAGTAGCTACTGCACTGCATAGTGCAACTCTAGAGCTAAACAGACATAGGTTTGAAGTATAGCTCCCCTTCTTCATTATTCCGAATTTAAGCAAGTTATCACCTTTCTCTGAAGTAGTTTCATCATCTAAAAAGTTAAGGCAAGTACAGACTTAGAGTCCTCACAAGGATTAAATGCTAAAGTGTATGAGATGACAGTCTGGGTTTAAATCCCAGTGAATAAAGTTGGCCTCTGCCTGTAGAAAATGGGAACAGTAGCAACTAGCTCAAGGGTCTGATTACAAAAAATGCTATAAGTCACCTGGCAGAGTACATGCTCCACAACATGCATTTACTAACTTTTATGCGATACTGATTAACATGGAAAGAGACCCATGGCATGTCATAGAATAAAAGTTCAGGCTACATACGGCATAAACCCATTTAAGTAAGTTATATATAAGGATAACGATTCAGGACATTCACAACCACGTCATTAGTTATCTTGGAATAGGAGAATTCTCACTTTACTTTTTTGCTTGGATTCACTAGAGAATATATATATATTTTTGCTTAAAATCTTTCAATAAAGGCCTGGGATCAGCAACATACCAACAGGAATGAACACACCTAGCTCGCAGATCTTGATTTCTGAATATTGACAAGATATATTAAGTTAAAACAAAAAGCAAAGTCTTGTTGCCGGCCCTGGGGCCAGCCCTGGGGCGTAGCGGTTAAGTGCGCGCACTCCACTGCTGGGGGCCTGTGTTCGGATCCCGGGCGCGCACTGAGGCACCGCTTGTCAGGCTATGCTGTTGTGGTGTCCCACATAAAGTGGAGGAAGATTGGCACAGATGTTATCTCAGGGCCAGTCTTCCTCAGCAAAAAGAGGAGGATTGGCATGGATGTTAGTTCAGGGCTGATCTTCTTCACACATACACACAAAAAACAAAGTCTTTAATTGTGTATAATACACAACCCTCTGTATTTTTAAAAACGTAAAATAACAACATAGCTTTACATTTGCTTGTATGTTCTTCAAGAGCCTCTGGAAATATATACAATAACACTGAAAAAAAGCATTTCCCTGGTTGGGTGGTGTGGGGTGGAGGGTTGAGATCTGGGAGCATGGGGAGCAGAGTTGAGGGTCGGATTTTTCACTGCATATATTTTTAAAAATTTGGATAACTTTATTTTGATACTATTTTCTTTCATTGTAATCTTATGTATTTTATTTTACGCATTTAAAAACATCACTCTGAGAAGAGGTCTGTAGGCTTTCCCAGGCTGCCAAGGGCCATGGCACACCAGTGGTTATGAACCTGAGCTCCAAATGATCATGCCTTTCCATCATTGCCCTTCCCTTATGACCACTTGCATTTTTAAATAATAGCTTTGTTCAGATATAATTCCCATACCTAAAATTCAACATTTTAAAGTGTACAAGTCAATGGTTTTTAGTATATTCACAAAGTTGTGTAATGATCCCTACTATCTAATTCCAGAACATTTTTATCACCCACACCTATTGCAGTTACTCTCTATTTCCCCCTGGCAACCACTACTCTACTTTCTGTCTCTATGGATTTGCCTATTCTGGACATTTCATATAAATGGAATCCGGCAACATGGGGTTTTTTGTGACTAGCTTTTCACTTAATGTTTTCAAGGTTCATCCATGTGATAGCATGCATCCTTTTTAATTGCCAAATATATTCCATTTATGGACATACCAAATTTTTTGTCCATTCATCAGATGATGAACATATGGGTTGTTTCCACTTTTTGACTATTATAAGTAATGCTGTCTTGATCGTTTATGTACAAATTTTTGTGTCGATGTATGTTTTTACTTCGCTTGGGTGTATACTTAGGAATGGAATTGCTGGGTCATAGATTCACTCTACGTTTAATTTTTTGAAGTAGTGCTAAACTGTTTTCCAAAGTAGCTCTACCATTCTACATTCCTACCACGAATATTTGAGGGCTCCAATTTCTCCACATCCTCACCAACACTTGTTATTGTCTGTCTTTTTTAATTTTAGCCATCCTAGTGGGTGTGAAGTGGCATCTCAGAAATTTTTGGAATGCATTTACCTAATAACTAATGGTGCTGAACATCTTTTCATGTAATTATTGTGCATAAATTTCTTATTATAGTGTTTGATTTCTAAACCACATAAATGCATTACGTAGTCAACACTTCAGATTAAAAATAGACATTCTCAGGCCCAACCCTGAAGAATAATTCATTTGGGTAAGGGTAGGGCCCAGAAATCTATGTTTTTCATAAGAATCCTGGGTGATTCTATCAGAGATGGTCCTAGACCAGGCTTAACAAACACTGAACCCACTGAGCAAGAACAATGGGGGCTGATGTGGAGCAGGTGATTCTTGTTGGAGTAATGAGAGGGATTCTAAAGGGTCAGCAGGATTTCCCTAGCGCAAGGAAAGACATTCTAGAGAGTATAGGGGGAGGAGACAGATATTCCTGGCCCATACCCTAGAAAGTTAATTTTCCCTCAGTGGGTCCTGAACCCTCTTAGTTATTCCTCAACCAGGGGCAGTAAAAAATCCCGGGCCCTAGGATCACCTTGGTCTGAGATCTTATCATAGTCCTGCTGCTGTGTGACTTTGGGCAAGTCACTTCCTCTCTCTGAGCCTCAATTTCCCCTTCTGTAACAGAAAAACAATAGTAATTATTCACAAGGGTATTGGGAGAAGAGAATGAGTTCATGTGTGTGAACACGCCTAGCATATAGTAGGTGCTCAATAAATGTTGCTGATTTCTTGCTTGCCTTTCCCAGATCCCAGACACAGAGACTCTCTTTTGTGTATATGTCCTTATTTGCATGTGCTCTTATTGCCCAGCTCCAGGTGTTAAATCCCAAGTAGCTCACATCTGTTCCTCTCTCTCCACTGCCATCTCCCTAGCCCAAACCACCCTCGTGCCTGCTTGGATTACTGCAGTGGCCTTCACACGATTCCCCTGCTTCACCCTGGTCCCCTCCAACCCATTCTCCATATAGCAAATAGACCTTTTGCTCTCGTTTTAAAAACACAAACCTGTCACTCTGCTGGTTAAACCTTTTAATGACTCCCCAACAATGGGATAAAGTCCTAACTCTTTACTTCGGCCTTCAAATGCTCCAATCACTGTGAAGTTTTTCAGTTCTTACAGCCAAGCTCCCTCTGGATTCTGGGCATTTACATCTGAAGTGAAAACCCCTTTCCACCCCTCGACTCCAGCTAATTCCTACCCAGGCCTCAATGGTCTTCACTCTAGAAAGACTTTCCTAATCCTTGAAGTGGGAGGAGGTGCCTCCTATCTGCTCCCTCAGCCTCATGCCAAGGAGCACCCTATTTCATAGCTTCACGGGTGTAGGTTCTTCCCCCCTCTGGGTTGTGATCCCTCAGGGGACAGGGACCCCATCTGTCTCATTTGTGTGCCCTCGGATCATAGCATGGTATCCTAGTGCATAGTGGATACTCAGTACATGGTTTTTAAAAGTTTTGTTGAAATTTTTGAAAAGTACATTCCAGCTTTCTTGTAGAATGTCCCTCAAGTTGAGTTTGTCTGTCATCTCCTCATGATTAGATTCAGGTTAAGTATCTTTGGCAGGAGTATCACATAAGTGATGCTGTGTCCTCAGCGTATCCAGACGCACGAAGTGTCAGTTTGTCTCGTTAGTGGGCAACATGGATCACCTTGTTAAGGGGGTGCGTACCCGATTTCTCTACTGTAAAGTTACCGTTTTCTCTTTGCAATGATTAAGTAATTCATGGAGACAAACTCTGAGACTGTGTGAACGATAAGCGCTCTTGAGAAGTCACAGAACCCTTCCAAGCTTCAGCTTCCCCATCTGTGAACTGGGGACAGCGGCATCTTAAACTCGTATCAGAGTTTAAGAAAGTGAAACTGCTAGAGACGCTGGAGAACCTGCCCCGGGGCAGACGGCAAAAACACGCCAGCAACGAGGATTAACTTCTTGCACGTTCGGAACGCGGAGAGGCAGGACGGGGTGTGCCCGAGAGAGCGAGAGCGCGCGCGTGCGTGTACGTGTGCGCGTGCGCGGCGGGGGGCGCGGAGAGGGAGTGACCACAGAGTCGGTCCTCCCGAGACAGAGAGGCCGGAAGCTTTTCTCCGAGAATCGGGTTTTTGTTAGGTTGGCGGAACTGAGGCGGTGCGACCGGGTTCTGCAGGCCGTTTGGCGCGGTAGTCCCGGCAGCGCGTCGGCCTGAGGGGCTCCGGGGTTCTGGGCGGGGACAATGGCGTCTCGGGCAGGCCCGCGAGCGGCCGGCACCGACGGCAGCGACTTTCAGCACCGGGAGCGTGTCGCCATGCACTACCAGATGAGGTATGAATTGAGGCGAGGAGCACGCCGGCCGCGGCGGCCGGAGCCTGCAGGGCCTGGGGAGCGACGCCGGCCCGGCCTCACGGTCTTACTCCCAGCCGGCCCCGCGCACCTGCCAAGCTCCCTCCTCCCGTGACGGCCCGGGGCCTGTCCCCATTCCCGGGAAGCCCCGTCGCCGCCGTGCGCTCCACTCCGGATCCGCCCTGTGCCTCGAGGGGGTCCAGCCCCGCCGGAGTGACGGCGATGCTGGACCTCGGGAGCCTCATTTCTAATTGAGCCCCGGTTTCCTCATCTGCGAAGGGAGACGTAATCTACCTTTTGGGTTTGGGTGAAGAGTTAGTGAGCTAACAGTTCGTGTAACGGACGTAGCATAAGATCTAGCACATAATAAGAGTGTGCCCAATACGTGGTAGCTGTTATATTTTGGGCCGTTTGGGGGGATGTGGACCCTAAAGTCCAGCCTTTCCCTGCCTAGAGTGAATTTTATGAACACCCCAGTAAGGGGTATTTCTACATTCATTTATTTGTTTGACAAATATTTGTTGAGCTTCTACCCATCATGCATTGTGCTAGGCACTGAGGATATAATTGAGCAAAAGCAGACCTGGTCTTTGTATGCATGTTATACCGTCAATAAACAAGTTTATTAACAAACAAACAAAACTGGTCCCTGCCTTCATGGAGCTTGAAGTCTAGAAGTGACTAATTTTACCCCTACCTACCTTTCCACACTTTCTATAATGGATATTTTTATTTTTATTTTTTTTTTATTATTTTATTTTATTTTTTTTTGGTGAGGAGATCAGCCCTGTGCTAACATTCGCCAATCCTCCTCTTTTTTTGCTGAGGAAGACGGGCCTGGGCTAACATCTGTGCCCATCTTCCTCCACTTTATATGGGACGCCGCCACAGCCTGGCTTGCCAAGCAGTGCGTCGGTGCGCGCCCGGGATCCGAACCAGCGAACCCCGGGCGGCTGCAGCGGAGCGCGCGCACTTAACCGCTTGCGCCACCGGGCCGGCCCTGGATATTTTTAAAATCAAAGAAATTTTTTTCGGTGAGGAAGATTAGCCCTGAGCTAACATCTGTTGCGAATCTCCTCTTTTTGCTGAGGAAGATTGGCCCTGGGCTAAGGTTGGTGCCCATCTTCCTCTGCTTTATATATGGGACACCGCCACAGCATGGCTAGATAAGCGGTGCGTAGGTCAGTGCCCAGGATCCCAACCTGTGAGCCCCGGGGCTGCCCTGGGCCATTGAAGCAGAGTGTGGGAACTTAACCACTATGCCACCAGGCTGGCCCCTAAAATAAAAATTTTAAAGCGAGATTTTCTTTCCTTAAATCCATTGAACGCTGTCAGTGTTTTTCACATCTTTCTCTCCAGAGTTTAAAAAACTGACAAGCTCTTTGGACCCTCACTTCATTTTTATCCTTAGACCCTTGCCTGAGAGGACCTCACAGCCCAAGCAAGTCTTGTCGTGCCTGTCCAGAGCAGAACCTCTGCCCTTGCGGGTGTGAAGAGGATACATTTAGGACCTGAGAGAATTAGAAGAATAAGAGAAATACGTGCTGCCTTTAGATGAAAAATCGACTGTAGCTGGAGAATTATGGGCAGCCTGAGCTTATTTCCTGACTGCCACTGCCTCTTTCCTCCAGGCTGTACCCCTACGGTGCAAAGTCATCTTTCTAAACACAGCTCTGAAATACTCTTCTGCCTTTAAACTGACTCTTTCATAGTTTTTACAGTTTCATATCCAGCTACTCCCCTTCCCCTTACAGCGTATTCCTGCCACACCCAACCACTTGCTTTCCTGGAACACAAATGCTTATGCCTTTTTGCCTGCATACTATTACCTCTGCTTAGAATGCCCATCTCCACCCACCTCTCAGAGCCCAGCTCAGATATCACCCTTCTCTAGTTAGCTGTCTCAGACATCCTATCCCAAGCAGAATTGATTACTCCTTCCTGTGATCCATCTATTTTGCAACATATAATTACTAGAGCTTTTCCAATTCGTTTTCTAATTATATTTTCTTCCTCTGTTCCTTGTGCCCAGCCTCCGGGCAGGGACTATATCATATTCACGTTTGTATCCCATTGTCCAGTATAGTTGCCTGGCATATACTTGGTGGTCAGAAAATTTTGAATGAAAGGTACTTCTCCCTCTGCTCTGCCCCACAGTGTGACCCTCAAGTATGAAATCAAGAAGCTGATCTACGTGCATCTGGTCATATGGCTGCTGCTGGTTGCCAAGATGAGCGTGGGACACCTGAGGCTCTTGTCACATGATCAGGTGGCCATGCCCTATCAGTGGGAGTACCCGTATTTGCTGAGCATTGTGCCCTCTGTCTTGGGCCTCCTCTCCTTCCCCCGTAACAACATTAGCTACCTGGTGCTCTCCATGATCAGCATGGGGCTCTTCTCCATCGCTCCCCTCATTTATGGCAGCATGGAGATGTTCCCTGCTGCACAGCAGCTCTACCGCCATGGCAAGGCCTACCGCTTCCTCTTTGGTTTTTCCGCTGTCTCTGTCATGTACCTGGTGTTGGTGCTGGCAGTCCAAGTGCATGCCTGGCAGTTATACTACAGCAAGAAGCTCCTAGACTCTTGGTTCACCAGCACACAGGAGAAGAAGCGTAAATGAAGCCTGCCTGATGGACTGCTCTGTGGGGTGAAGCCTGGGCCTCCCATTGAGTGGAATGAGAGGGTAGAGGAGCTGTTCTGAAATCTCCTTTGGTGATTTTGGCAGCTGTGATGTTGGAAATGAGTGCAAACTAGGCCCAAGTTCTGGAAAGCCCCTCCTGTTGCCATCAGCTGAGGTTGCAAAACTGTACTTTATTTCTAGTTGGCTGGAAGTCAGTGATCAACAGCTGTAAAACAAACTTGAGCTGGTTGAAGCTGAGGTCCTTCAGGATTTTTATTTTAAGACTGAGCCTCATCCTTGCCTCTTCTTGGTCATTCTTTCCACTTCCATCCATCACCCCTTAGCCACCGAGACTGAAGGAGATAGGGAATAAATCAAATTCTGCTTCAGTCTATAAGTCATGGGGCAGGAAACATTTGGGAGGCTGCTCGCCCTGCAGGCTGTGGTCTCTATTGCAAAGATTTTAATTAAAAAGAACCTCAATAAAGTTAAAATTGTCCTGTCCACCCTGCGCCTTGTGTTTGGGATTTGATACAGTGTAAAAGGTGTGTTGCTTGAGTGGTCTTAGACACTAGGAGGTAGGTAGAAGTGCCCTGAGAAACCTGGAAGTGGCAATAGAGAACTGAACTGGGCATAGGAAACCTAAGTCATAGTTGCAACCCTACAGCTGATTGGCAGAAACTATGATGGGCCATACATTTCATCTCTCCTCCTGTAAAATGACCCATTCTCATTCATGCAGCTTGGGTTTGGGCTCTTCTTTTGGTTGGATATTCATGTTTATCATTCATTGTTAACAGAGTGTCAGGTATGTGTCTAATACTGTATTATGGTATCCAAAAGAATTTTAAAGTATCCCTGCATATAGGGAATTTGCAATCTAGGTGACACATGATATACCTGTGAAACAACAAATGAACACAATAAGTAGTGGGCTGGGGCAGATAAGTTAAAAATAGAAGCAGGAAAGAGATCTAAAGGCCCTTTCACACCTACAAGTCTGACACACAGTAAATATTTATTGCGTGAAAGATGTGTGTCTCTTTGCTTATATCCACTTGACTTGATCTTCTCTGGATGATGCCCAGATCTCTGGCCTCTCCAGAGTTTTAGTCATTTTTTTGTTCTATAAACATTAAGTATGTCCTCAGTCACTATTAGGTACTGGCAGTACTTCTAACTGCAAAACCTCTTCCTCTAGATGCCCTGATTATCATCTCAAATTCAGTGTGTCCCAAACTTTGCCTTCTACCTCACATCCATTCCTCTTCCTACATCCCTGTATGCAAGCGAGTATACAAAGAGCACAGCTCTGGATCATCAAGTCCCCACTATGTGCCGTTATTTTTTGAACAACCACAATTCCTTAATCTCTTTCAGACATTTCCAAAGTGTGATCCCAATGTACTAATCCTGCATTATCTCCCAATACTCTCACTCAAACACTACCTCAGTCCCCAGATCCCCTCATAAATCCCCACATTGGTTCCATGTTCCCAGTTTGCTTAAAAATTTCCCTTTTATACTCCATTGTTACTTATCCTTCAAGACCCAGTTCATCTGGTAATTCTGGAGCCTTCTGGTTCCTTCAATTCAAGGGGTGAGAGTTCTTTAATTTCAGGTGGCATTTTTATTTTACCTTTTTTATTGACAGAATTATTAGCTTACATGTCTTTTCCTCACCCCTTGCTCAGTATCTAACATATAGCGTGCACTCTGAACTTATTAAATAAAGTAACTTGTCCTACTGTAGACTAAAGTCAGGATGTATTTCACAGAGGAAAGAACTAGACTGAAGCAGGGGTAGAATTTGGAGAGCAGAGAGGAGCAGATGGAAATGTGTGGGTAACGGAGTTAGTGCACCAGGCACAGATTGCTAATTTTCAAAGAGTTGGGATGCCAATAATTATTACTAAAAAAAAAAGTTAAAAATTTCTTTGATTATTAGAATGGTACGTTACAGTCTTGGAGTTCTTTTAAAGATCCATTATGAAAATTATTGTCAACACACACACACACACACACACACACACACAAGCTATTTGATATACTTTAGTTTTCTGCTTGTTGGATTGTTGAGATTCTGCTTTTCTGGGTTTTTCCAAACATTTTTTCCTGCCTTGTGATTGTAGTATTCCCTGAAGCAAACGAGTTCCTTTGAGAGGGATCTTGATTTAGTGGGAAGAATACTGTATTTGGATTAGAAGTCTGGGGTTCAAGTACCCGTATACCTAATCATATGGCTAAGATCAAATCTGCCTATTTCACGGGGTAGTTTTGAAGATCAAATAAGGTGAAGTATTGTGAAGGTGCTTTGTGAACTATATAAAACTATATAAATGTGAGAAATGGTTATTATTCTCTGATGCTTACAGAAGTAGAGAGTGGAGGTATTAGAGGGACCCTTAGAGAGCATCTAGTCCATGAGAAAGGCAGCATGATGTAGTAGAACGAACACAGTTTCTGATATTAGACTGACTTAGGTTAGAATTCTAGCCAGGCAGAATTTTGCTACCTTCTGCCTTGAGCAAGATACTTGAGCCTCTGTTTTTGGTCTGACACGTGGGGATCATAGTGGCTACCACCCAGGCTCTTGTGAGGGTTAAATAAAATAATGTATATGAACAGTCTAGTACATAATTGGTGCTTAATAAATATCAAAATCCTTTCCTTGATGAGCGGTGTTGGCGTCCCCCTCTCATATTGGGAGTCCCTTTCTCTTCTCTTAGGCATAATTTCTTGCCTCAGAATTCTGGAGGTTGATCTCTTCTGGAAGAACAGAAATGAGAAAGGGACGCTTGTCTGCTCTTGGTTTATATTGGTCTAATTGGTTGAATCTTCCTGCCCAGGGTGCCCTAACAGTAGGTACAGTTGCCCTAACAGACCTGAGGAATCAGCCATTACAGGCAGAGCCTGGAGATGCTGCTGCATGGTCTGACCAGAGTCCATGCATGGGTAAGGCTCTGACAAGAAAAATGGCTGCCCAGGGCCCCCACAGTGTACTCTACCTGAGCATGCGTAGGGGCCTGCCAAAACCTCCTGAGCTCCTGGCTCAGTCCCCAAGTAAAGGTTATTAGAGCATGAAGTCTGGGTCAGCTCATTCAGACACAAACCACAAGTGAGACAGGCCTTAGCGACCTCCCAAGAGGACAGGGGCTCTGTGCTGCAGGCCTGCCACACACGTCTGTTGCCTTTACTCCAGTTGGCTACCTTCTATTCCAGCCACAGAGTTACTCCCTCCTTGTTGACACTTGCCAAACAATCTACTCTCCTGGAAATCTAACCACTGATAACTCACTCTCATAAGACCTACTTTCCTTTGTTCTTTCCAACAATTCCAATTTCTTCCTCCACATTGTTAACCCTACCAACTACATCACACCACTAAATCTAGTACTCCTGTGGACTACAGAAGCCATCTGACTTCCCACAGATCTTCCCAAGCAGTGTGTTCTGGCAGAAAGAGACAGAAAGACATGGAGGTGAGTCCCAGCTCCTCATTATTGTGTTTGGACAAGTTACTGAAGCTTCCTAGTGTTTCCTAGTCTGTAAAATGGTTTAATAAGGCCTCTAGGGTTGTAGTACTAATAAAATGAGATACTGTGGGCAAAGCACATGGCCCAGAGCCTGAGAGTAGGAGCTTGGCAAATGTTGATTTGATCCCCTCCCCTTCCCCAGGGTGTGCTGGAACTCGCCAGCCCTGCTTTTTACCTTAAATCCTTTTTGGAACAGGCTCCACAATAAATAAGTAAACCAGCCAGACAATAAATAAAACACAGACCTCCTTTTCTCTCTTCTTCCCGCCTTTCTTCCTCATCTTTATTCCTTTTCCTTTTCTAGGGGCTCCTTTTCTTCCCTTTCTATTCTTTCTTTTTTTCTTTTGTATGTGTGTATGTCTCTCTATTTATTTATTTTCTGCTTCTCCTACCATACCTTAGCCAGAGTCAGGGAGCAATTAACCAAATATTTTCACTGTGAGAGTCAAATCAGAAGATTTAAGTGGTCAAGGAAGAAGAGTGTTGAACGGAACCAAGTTTCTTACTTCATGCCCCCAGCATTGGAGAATGCATTATCTGTGTAGATCTAAACCACTGTGGTTAGGGAAAAATCTGGGGGAAGACTCTCTAACCTATCCTTAGTATGGCCAGAGCAGCCTTTTCTCCCTTCACACCTTACTGATTTGTTTGCAGTGATGGGCTCTAAGGCCAAAAGACAGAACTGTGTCAGCTTGGCTCTTTTGGGTTCCCAGGAGCAGGGGGAGATGAGGCAGTGGGAGGAGAGACCTTAAGAGAATTGAACTGTGAGAGGCTGGCAGAAGTGGAGCTCCCTGGGCTAGAGACCTTGACCTTGACCAAATCGTGTTCCTTTCTGCTTCCTTATTTCTTTATGAAATGAAAACAATAATTCTCACCTGTCTCACAGGCGGTTAGGAGGATCAAATGTGAACGTGCTTGGTGAAATGTGAAATAGATAAACTGCTACTTAGATGGACTGTATTATAGTTTACATTTATTCAATTACAGAGCACCTATTTCATGACAGTCACCTCTAGGTATTGGAGAAACATCAAGAAATAGAAAGGGTCCTTATCTTCTAAAGAACTCAAAAACTAGAGGGTATTTTTAGGATAATGGGTAGGATGGGGTCTTCAGACATTGGATCTGAAGACGTAGGAACTAGAATGGACCTAAAGAAGGCTGTGGTCAGGCTACTGAAAAGTGCAGATGGACCATCACCATCTCAAGATGCCTCCAACCAGTAGGTGTGCTCCAGACTTTCTACTGTGTGTGTCACCAAGGTGAGGGCTGAAGCAGCTCAAATGCTCCGTGAGCAGGAGGAAGCTGTGGGATGATGGGGAGGGTCCCCACATCCACTGGAGCCTCGTCAGCATCGGAAACCACAGGAAACCAGGTCAGTGCATGGGGCCCGCTCCCTCAGCTTCACAGCATCAGCTGTGAGCTCTGGGGCTCCATGAGCAGACTGTACTGATGAGTGGATCCTTGAAGCTGGAGGCCCCTTTGGCATGGAGCCCTTTGCCCAGAAGAGCTGGAACTGGCCAATGGGTAGAGAGAGGAAAGCTGAACTGTAGTCCTGAGAGTCAGCCAGATGGGGAGCCAGGATGCATGTGGGGGCATGTGAGGTTTATGTGCATCCTATAGTGTTTTTTTGTTGTTCTGCCCAACTTTAAATGGTGCCTCAGTCACCTCTGTCTCCAGCACCCAATGCAGGGTAGTGCTTAACGGCTCTGTTAATTCTCTAAGTGAGAGAATGAAGCATGTGTCCAGGGGAGATCCAAGTCCATGAGCAGGTTAACAGGTGCCTCAGACCTGCACAATGTTGCAGGAAGAGGAGGGTTAAGAAATGGGTACAGCCTGCCATCCCCCTAACGCTGTGCTGGCCTCTTTCCTGTTATTTCTCCACCAGAGCAAGAAACCCTCGCCCACCAGGTGGGGGCAGTAGGGTTTTCTGGGGGGCAAGCGTCCCTCAGTCCCTCTGCTTGGAGAAGGAATGTGGCCTGGCAGGCTGGTTAGGATTGAGGAGGAGCTTTGGGGCAGGGCGGGGCCGGGGCAGGCTGAAGCAAGGACTCCTGCTGGCACTGCACTCTCTGCTGCTACACAGCAAGGCCCTGCCGCCCACCTTCAGGCCGTGCAGCCATGTTTTGGGCGCCCTGACCCCACGGAAGCCCATGGGGAGCCCTGGACTGGCAGCCCTGCTCCTGCCTCTCCTCCTGCTGCTCATTGGCCTCTCTGCCTCTGCTGGGATTGCCTGCCCCTACTTGCCCCACTGGAGCACCCGCTGTCTGCTGGCCTTCCACATGGTAAGGCGCTGCTGCCGGGTAGGGACTCCTGCCTGGCACAGGCTGGCAAAGCTCCCCACTCTCCTGCCTGTCCTTTCCTATCGCCAGTCCCTGTGCTCTGGGGGCAGCTGCAGTGTGTCCTCTACACCATCTTGAAGGGTAGCCAAGGTCCTGGTGCGCTGAGGGCCTGGGCAAGGTGGAACTGGGAAGAAAAGAGCCAGAGGGGGTGGTCTATTAGCTTATGGGCCTTGGAATTAGGTGATTTGAGGCAAAGACCCCAGGGACAGTGCTCCTTATGGGAATCCCCACTAATTATACTTCTCTCCTTTCTTTTGCCTACTGGGCCCTGTGCCTCCAGGATGACAGGTTCACTGGTGAGTCTCATTCCCTGTCCCGTTCTTCTTCTCCACATTCCTTTTGTTCCAGATCCCCAGCAAGCCTTCCATTCTAATTTTTAGTTCCCAGCGTGGGAAGTAGCGTAGTATCAAGGCAAGAGCACAGGGTTTAGAATCAAGACAAGCCTGGATTTGCATTGCAGTTCTGCCACATACTCCACATGTGGCTTCAGGCAATGCACTAAACCCTCCGACCCTCAGTTTCTGAGGGGTATAGCAGCTCGGGCGGGTAGAGATGATTGTACGATGAAGACTGTTGCCCCTGAGCTGTGGGGAGGGTAATGAGAGACGCGGGTAAATCTTCAGGCACTCCTCCTAACTGGGCCCTCACTCCTGTCAGTAACACAACAATGATCCTTCATATTTTATGGTGCATTCTACTGTACAAAGCATTTTCCCGCGCGTTATCTTGCTTGATCTTGACAGCAGCCCCACTTTATGAATGAGGAAGCTGAGGCTTAGAGAGGTCCGTAACTTGCACACAGTCCCGTGGCCAGGATGTAAGTGGCAGAGTTCAGCCTCAAGGCCAACTTTGAAGCAGGAGGGACTTCAGATCGACACTACCCTTTGATTTCCTTTTCATCTTTCACAGGAAGGGCTGCTGCCCATATTCCTTGCCGTATCCAACTGGCCATCCCCCTCTCCCCAAAGCCCTGGCGTGCTCGGCTCTGGCGCTGCCCCTGCTGTTTGTGCCTGCTTCTGGTGTCAGATCCTTCAGGTACCAGAAAAAGCCCTTTGGGCCATTCTCAGTGGAGATGTGAATTAGGGGCATTTGCGGGGGGGCCCAGGCTGAGGCAAAGTGGGACTTATACTAGAAGAGATGTTTTTCCTGTTGTCAGTCTCAACAGAGACTTAGGTCATCCTAACATAGCACACCATGATGTTCGTGAGTTCAGTCATATCGTTTTGTGAAGGCGTTTCTCATTTCAGCTGGTACCAATTCTTGGGATTAAATATTAAATTATAATATATATAAATATTTATATAACATAAATATTTATATAAATATTAAATTAAAAATATTTTAGTTCTATGAATTTACTATTATTACCTTCTATTTGTAAACTAAGATCTTTCTTATTCAACTTTCTTATTTCATTGCCTAGCTCACTGCCTGCCCATACATTGTTTAAAAATTGGCAGTTTCTAATTTTTATAATTTTATTTATTTATTTATTTTTTTCCCCAAAGCCCCAGTAGATAGTTGTATGTCATAGTTGCACATCCTTCTAGTTGCTGTATGTGGGACGCGGCCTCAGCATGGCCGGAGAAGCGGTGCGTCAGTGCGTGCCCGGGATCCGAACCCAGCAGCAGAGCGCGCGCACTTAACCGCTAAGCCACGGGGCCGGCCCAGCAGTTTTTAATTTTTCACTGCTATAAATAACGCTACAATGAACGCCTTTGTGTTTGTATGTGTGTGTGTGTATATATATAGCTTTTTCTCTACTTAAGAAATTAATCCTTTTTTGATTGCATCACAGCTTTCAGGACTAAAGAAGTTTGATATCATTACCCTCTTTGATCTAAAATGACTTGCTCTCCAACATTGGGCCACATCTCCAGGTAGGGGAAGGGCAATGAAAGGCTGGAGAGTGAATGTGTCTTTTCCTGCGCAGGCCTTCTCTGGGGCTGGTTCCACCTCCCGGTGCAGAAATCCCACAAGTCTTACAAATTCCAGTTCTGTAGGAGACACAAGATGCTGGTATCTGCTCAGGTACTCTCCCTGCCAGCTCCCGCCCTCCCCTATTCCATGGCCCTTTCCTTTCTGGCCTCTCATTTTATTCTCCAGCCATGTGAGAAAAATGGAAAGTATAGAGATGAAGTAGACTATTCTGTCCGTTACACAGTTAGGAAAACTGAGGCCTACAGGTTGAGCAACTTGCCTGTGGTGCCCCAGGTTCCAGAAACAGGAATAGAAGCCAGAGTTCCTAATTCCTGGCCTAAGGCCAACCTTGTTCTTTGCCTCCAGAGGGAGCTGCTGAGGAGCCATTGCCTGTCTAAGAAGGGCCATCACATCTCCGCCCCCTCCCCAGACATTTTCCACAAGAGGCTACGCTCCAAAAGGACCCAACCTTCGGATCCAGAGGCAGTGGAAGGTCTCCCCAGACCTGGCTCACAAAGGCATGGAGGTAGGCATGGGTTGTGACTGGAGATGGGTGCAGCCAAGCAGTGGTGCCTGTGCCAAGGCCAAGAGACAAGGCCTCCAAGTCCCCCTTCTCCCCAGGGCCTGAGTTCTCCTTTGACTTGCTGCCTGAGGCACGGGCTATTCAAGTGACCATTCCTCCAGGCCCTGAGGTCAGCGTGCGTCTTTGTCACCAGTGGGCACTGGAGTGTGAAGAGCTGAGCAGTCCCTTCAACGCCCAGGTATGGAGTGCCATCTCCCTGTAAAAAGCCAGATCACAGAGTGCTGGAGCAGAAAGAACCTACCCATTGTACAGATGGGGAGACTGAGGCCCAGAGAGGGATGATAATCGTCCAGGACCTTCTTACAAGTCTGAAGTGCCTAGCATTAAGACTTCTTTAGACTAGACAGAAAACGCAAGGGGCCTTGTCACCTGGGAGGAGAGAAGAGGAAAGGGCAGGCAGAGACCTGGAGCAACCATGAATGCCTATGAAACAAATATGGCATTTACCCCCAGTGAGAGGACCCCCAGTGAGATTCAGGTTGCATTAAGAAGCCTTTTCAGTTCCCCCAAGAAGTTGTTCTCTCTGAGAAAATGAAGTGGTCACATCTGTCTTGGTTCCCTTCCGTCTCCTCCCTTTGTTGCTGCTCTTCAGAGAATTAGATGTCCCCCATGCTCCCAGCTGAGGCCCTGACACCCCACTGCAACCTCCAGTTGTCACAGATGGCCTGTATACAGTTGGTAGCATTTGCAGGAACTGATGCTGTGCCCCTGAGGCCCTCAGCTCTCTTCATTTATAAAATGGTGGTGATACCTCCCAAGATCACTCTGATGCTAGCATTTAATTAATTGAGTTAATGCTTCTAGCACCTAGCACCCTACCTGGCATACAGTAGGGGCTCAGCAAAAGTATATTCCTTTCCCTATCTCCTCCCTCCCACTCTATATATGGAGACACCTAGAACAAATGGTCAGACTACAGAGCAGAGACCCCCTGAGAGGAAATTTCTCAGTGAAAGAAATAAGTCTCATGTAAGAGGAAAAATAGGGTGTGTTGGCCAAGGTCCCAGCTTCCTCCTGCCCTTTTTCAGGGTGCCTATGCCCTTTCTGAGTCATCTCTTCTCTCCCTTTGCTGCTTCGTCAACAGAAAATTGTATCTGGGGGCCATGCTGTAGACCTGCCTTATGAATTCCTTCTGCCCTGTCTGTGCATAGAGGTGAGCAGAGGAAAAGGTGTGGGTTGTCCATGCTGCACTCCTAGGCCCCGAGATAGTGCTGTTGGTCAAGCATATCTTCAGTAAGTCAGGTTTAAAAAGAATTGGATGTTAACGAGATGCTTGGGAAGACTGGTGCCAGCTTGGCTGTGGTCAGAGATGGAAGGGTCCTGCTGAACATGGGACATTCTAGGGAGTGGTTCCAACCTCGGGCCCATCCAAACCCAGCTTCCCTTGGTCCAGACCTGGCCTCAGCCCACAGAGGCAGAATAGACAGCTGCCTTCACTGTATGTTCTGAGGAGTCATGGTGGCAGCAGGTGCCCACTGCAAGGTTCTATATGGCCCCCAAAAATCTTGTCCCCACTAGCCCTCCATGGCAGTCCTCCTCCTCTCCTTATAAGTCTGAGATGCCTAGCATTAAGACTTCTTTGGACTAGACAGAAAAGGCAGGGGCCTTGTCTCCCAGGAGGAGACAAAAGGGAGGGTGCAGGCAGAGACTTGGAGCAACAACCACTCGCCAGGGTGGACAACCATTGGGTGTTTGGGCAGTCCAGGAGGAGGGGCCCCCACAGGGCACTGGGCACCTTGGAATCGCTGAGACTGGAGGCCAGGGAAGCCAAAAGTTGAGGAATGTGGACCTCACGCTCTGCCTCTTTCCGGGGATAGTTTCTCCTCTCCAGGGAGAAGAGGACTCAGCCCCTCATTACTGATCTCGCTCCTAAACTCTGGAGTTCCTCCCCCAAGTGTCAAGCACCACCCACCCTTGCCCACACCCCACTGCTCCCCCTCCTCAGTGCCCTGCCAGCTTAGGCAGCTTGCATCAGGGGAAGGTCAAGCCAGAGTGAGTTTCAGGTCTGAGTGATAGAAGAAAAGCCATTCCTCTGACCCTCCCTGCCTGCTCCCCTGTCCCTCCAGGCATCCTACCTGCAAGAGGACACTGTGAGACGCAAAAAATGTCCCTTCCAGAGCTGGCCTGAAGCCTGTGAGTGCTGCTCATATGCATTGTTGTGCATGCACAGCCTCTCTCTGTCTCTCTCTTACACACACACATCCATGCACACACACACTTCACACCTGTGTTGGAGGAAGCCCCAGAAGAAGGCATGCAGGCACTTTCCCTGGAGTCAGTGGGGGAGAAGGACTGCCATGTCTACCCACCAGCCTGCTAATAAATCTGAATATTGAACATTGTACTAGGCACTGTGAGAGGTGCTGAGATATGAGACCCATGAGGTAGTGTCCTAAGAGGATGGACCAGAAGACCTAGGGTCACATCCCAGCTCTGCCACTTATTCTTCTCTGAGCCTCAGTTTCCTCATCTGTAAAATAATGATACTTATCCTGCCTTACTTTCCAACTGTCTATGAAGCTTGAATTCAATATTATCTGTGAAAGTGGGTGGTGACGTCTAAAGTGCTGTACGCACATTGTTGTCCCCAAGTTGAAGAGACAGGACGCTCAGACACGACAAGTGAATAGCACAAAGCAGCCTGCAGTCCATAGCAGGGTTGTAATTAAGGACTAGGCTGTAAGCACGAATTCAGAAAAGGGAGAAGCCTGTGAAGGCTGTCGTGAGCAGAGAAGGTCTCTTAGAGGAGGTGACACCTGAGCTGAGCTCAGAAAATGGGCAGGATTTAGAAAGGAGAGAAGGGAGGGGAAGGCATTCCTGGTTCTGAGAGGAACCTAAGCAAAGATATGAAAATTTCGAGTTTGGGGAGCAGCAAGGAGCTGGCCAGAATGGAGCCCAGGAAGGAGAGGAGACAGCTAAATAGAAGAGGCAATACAAGGGGCCGGAGAAGGCATGCTCGTTTATTGGGTACCTAGAAGGCCAGGACGTACCTAGAAGGTGCTGGGCACCTTCACAAAGTCATCTCCTGATGCCCTGGGGATGGGGCTGGCAAAGTGAGGCTTCCCTGATCCGGGCTCAGGCCTCACCAGGCCTCGCTCTCTGCCCCTGCCTCCTGCATAGACGGCTCGGATTTCTGGAAGTCAGTGCACTTTACTGACTACAGCGAGCACAGTCAGATGGTCATGGCCCTCACACTCCGCTGCCCACTGAAGCTGGAGGCCTCCCTCTGCCAGAGGCAGGGCTGGCACACTCTCTGTGAAGACCTCCCCAATGCCACGGTTCGAGAGTCTGAGGGGGTGAGACAGGCCTCCCCAGGACCTGGGTAGGTGGGGCTGGGCCCAGGGCCCTGCTCCCTGACTAACTCCCTTCTTCCACCACAGTGGTATGTTTTGGAGAAGGTGGACTTGCACCCCCAGCTCTGCTTTAAGGTATGAGCCTGGGAAAGAGGGGATGAGAAGGGGTATGGATGGTGCCTGGAGCTTGCTCACTTGCCATTCTTGGATTTCTCAGTTCTCTTTTGGAAACAGCAGCCACGTTGAATGCCCCCACCAGACTGGTGAGCCAATAAGTGACCCCGGCTGGGACTCCCTCCCACCATTTCACCCTGACCCAACTGTGACCAAGCCAGACGCTAGCCCTGCCCTGACTTCTCTGTCAACTGCAGCCCAGCTCCTATTACCTCCCACAAGCAGGGTCTCTCACATGATGCCCTGTCCCTCACCCTGGCAGCCCCGTCCTGGAATGTCAGCATGGATACCCAGGCCCAGCAGCTGATCCTTCACTTCTCCTCAAGGACACATGCCACCTTCAGTGCTGCCTGGAGCCACCCAGGCTTGGGACAGAACAGCTTGGTCCCCCCTGTGTACAGTGTCAGCCAGGTATGGCCTAGCCAGGGCTTGGCCCCCACTAGGTCTGTTGCTCAGAGCACAGCAGGTGGAGGCGAACAAATCTCTGTCTTAACATCATCTGGTTATTTATTTATTGATCAGCCTTTGTTCAGCTGGCTCCTCTGCCAGGCAGTGGGGTCTTCGCTGGAGCAGTTTCAAATTCCTTTTAGTTTCTGAACTTACAGGGATAAACAGAGACAAGAGACTCCCACATCCAGCTGTTCTCTGGCCCACTTGAATTGCTGCCACATTTGATACAGATGCCCTCTCTTGAACCCAGCTGTCGTCTACCACCACACTCCTGCCTGCCTCCACAGGGCACCTGGCAGAAGTTCTCTGACTGTCTTAGGAGGCAGAGCCCCTAGAAGCTGAAGTGCTCTTTGCAGAATACTGTGAACTACTGACAGATTTAACTCTATTATGTGAACTAAGAACAGTTTGACTAGCAGACTCTCTTCTGTATATCTGATATAAAAAACACATTCAAATATATCCACAAAACCACAGCACCAAGCTAAGTATGACTAGCTCTTTTCAGTTTTTTTCTTAAATGTTCACTTGCAGCTTGTTTATTTGCTTTGCATTCTACGAGGCTCCCAAGCAGACAGGTGGTAGCAAATGCTTAAGATTTACAACAAAGTCATGTGGGATAACCTAAAATTGAGAGCTAAATCCATGGACTCCTTTGTTTCTGTGAGCTGGGGAAAGACCACCTTCACTGAGTTCAGCCATGATTTGACAGCCGCTTCATCAGCACCTGCTCACAGCTGGCTGGCGAACGGGGTCTGGGACAGGGGTGGGGGAGGGGGAGGGAGTGGAGGGTGTTCCCGAAGGATGGAGACTCCGATCAACTCCCTCACCAGAACCTGGCGTGGAGCCACATCCTGCCTGTAGACAGATGGCAATCAATTCTGTCCACTTCAGCATGCATTTATTGAGTGCCTACTCTGTGTCTACCCTGTATTAGGCCCTGGGAGATACAAGAAAGGTATATAACACAGTCTCTACCCCTAAGGAGTCCACAATATGATAATAGCTACTACTAGTAAATGAATACACACTGCGCTGTGTATTATAAAGGGCGTTCACATGTATGTTCCCATGTGATACTCTCAATAACCCAGTAAAATAAGGATTATTATCTAATATACAAATGAAGAAACTGAGGCTCAGGGAGGAATGTAACCTATCTCCACGCGAGATCACATGGCACTAGTAAACCTGACTTCATTAACTGTGGTCTCCTGACCCCACAACTTACGTTCTTTCCAATGGGCAAGCCGCCCTTTCAGGTGTGCAGGACAGAGAAGGGAGGCAGCATACAATTAGCATCCCTGGTTTGTGAGCTGCTAGAGGACAAAGACAATGTCTGTGCCTGCCTTCTTTCCTCAGGGCTTGGCCCAGAGTAGGCACACAGGGCATGTTTGTTGACGAGTGCCTAGTTGCCTGATTAATGTGTATCTGTGCAGCAGTTCAGATCTGGGAATGATCAGCAGGATCTGGGAATGAAGCCAGGGAAGGCTTCTTGTCAGGAGTGGCACTTGGCCTTCAGCCTGGGTAGGATTTGGGTGGGGGTGGGTGAAGAAAGGAGGAACAGCATTAGCAAAGACTCAGAGGCTGGACAGAGCCAGATTTGCTCTATGGGGACAGTCATTCTGTTCTTTGTTCCAACAGACTCACGGCTCAAGCCCAGTGACACTAGACCTCATCCTTCCCTTCCTGAGGCCAGGGGGCTGTGTCCTGGTAAGGACTCCTGCCATCACTCTGTGCACACTCCCCTAGCATCTGCTCCACAGGTCGGAAATCCAGTCTGCAAAAATGTTTGGTTTGGCCACCATGGTGTTTGAAATTGGAATTAGCTGCCGCCATTTAAATATTGGGAGATGTCATATTTTAAAAAGCCGATTTCTGGCTTTTCTTGAAAAATCAGAAAACTTGGTGTCCTGTGTCCACACTCAGGCATGGTGACAGTGGGCTGGAGCTCAGCGGTGTCTGATTACTTCAGTTAGGGCCTGTGCCCGGTAGGTCCTCATGGACGCCCTCGCCAACTCTGAGTTTACTTTTGGAGTTTGCCACTCTTGACTTGTTCTGTGCCCAGCCAGAGCTGCATCAGACACAAACCCCATGCTGGAGGAATTCCCTATCCAGGGGGACTCCCTTTCTCCATCCCCAAGCCTCATTCAACTTCCCCTGTGAGGAGGGGCTACCCTGGCTCACAGGGGTGGGGGGGGCTCTGTGCCCTCAGGTGTGGAGGTCAGATGTCCAGTTTGCCTGGAAGCGCCTCTTGTGTCCGGATGGTGAGTTCTTGGGAGGAGAGGGCACTTAGGACGGAGGTTGGGCACCGGGGAGCCCAGCTTGGCCTCACCCCGCTTGACTCAGTCTCTCATAGACGCCTGGGACTCTTGATCCTGGCACTGCTGGTCCTCACCACGCTATTGGTTGTTGTTCTGGTCCTCACCCACCGGCGCCCACTGTCAGGTAAGCTCACTTGGGGGTAACCTGCCGGATTCTGGCGCAGCTCCTAGGCTAGTTGCCCCCTACCTCTCCCCTGCCCAGGCTCCCTTCCCAAAGAGCGTGTTCCTGTGGCTGCACCCAGCTCTCTGCTACCCAAGAGGGTAAGCCTCAGGCCCCCTAGTGGGCAGGAATGGTTAAGGCAGGGCAAAGGTCCCTCTGTGCGGGTGGTTTACTGTACTGTCTCTGGGCAAGAGGCTAGTGGGGCGGAAATCCAGCCTGAGCTGCACCTGCCAAGTCTGGCGCCCTGGCCCAGGCCCCTTCCGGGGCGCCTTTATCTAATTAGCCCAAAGGCACCTTATAGTCTAAAGCTGCCTCGGATACCTACCTCCAGCAGAGAAAAGGAACTGGGCGCGGGGGGAGGGGGCACCCTATGACGTAGCCCCGAGGCTGGGGAGGAGATGGCTGGGCTGTCCCTTAGCCCCCGACCCTGTTCATCTGTTGCTCCCGCCCCCAGGCCCGGGCCGAGCGCGGCCGGTGCTGCTGCTGCACGCGGCGGACTCAGAGGCACAGCGGCGCCTGGTGGGAGCACTGGCTGAACTGCTGCGGGCAGAGCTGGGCGGCGGGCGCGACGTGATCGTGGATCTGTGGGAGGGGACGCGCGTGGCGCGCGTGGGCCCGCTGCCGTGGCTATGGGCGGCGCGGGCGCGCGTGGCGCGGGAACGGGGCACGGTGCTGCTGCTGTGGAGTAGCGCCGGCCCCAGCCAGGCCCGGGGCCCCGATCCCCGCGCCGCGCCCCTGCGCGCCCTGCTCCGCGCCGCCCCGCGCCCGCTGCTGCTGCTCGCTTACTTCAGTCGCCTCTGTGCCAAGGGCGACATTCCCCCGCCGCTGCGTGCCCTGCCGCGCTACCGCCTGCTGCGCGACCTACCACGCCTGCTGCGGGCGCTGGACGCGCGGCCTTTCACCGAAGCCGCCAGCTGGGGCCGCCTCGGGGCTCGGCCGTGCCTGCGTGGTCGCCTGGAGCTGTGCCGCCGGCTGGAACGCGAGGCCGCCAAGCTTGCCGACCAAGGCTGAGCGGAGCTCCACCGCAGTCCGGAGGATGTCTGTGGCCGCAGGCGTAGGGGCACTGGCTGGAATCCCGGAATGAGCCTTCTATCCTGGAATCCTTGGGGTGACTCCTCAGGACTAGTGGTCAAAAAGACTTACTCTCTGCCTCCCAGCCCGGGAGCAGAGCCCCTCATTCACTGTCCTAACCGGTTCCCCACGTGTCCGGCTTCCTCCTCAGGCTTACCCTGCCTCTCAGAACCCCCAGAGAGAGAGTTACTCTTTACTGAGAGTTCCTCTGCCCCCAGTCCTGGTGGGGGTGGGGGATCTTCCCACTTCCTCTCTCTGAAAATCCAGAAGGAGAGTAATGTGCACATGCTCCAGTTCAGGCTCAGAGGTAGGGGAGGCAGGAGCTATGGCAGTTCTGAGTGGGGAGTGGCTCCAGGGTGTGGGAGAAAACCCCTTCCGGAGCCAGGGATCCCCCTTTCCCAGACCAGGGCCCTGCCAAGAGGGGGATGAAGGGAGAGCTCTGGACCCACGGAAAGAGGCTTTGGCCCTGGGTGGCCAGAGCAAAGGTGGGACAGTGAAGATCAAGATTGAGAAAGATGAATAAAGAGGAACATGATGGATAGACTAAGAAACACAGTGTGCTTCTCTAGTGTGCCTGGGATGCTGAACTGGGGGAAGGGTCAGTACCACCCTGCCTGGGGGTTGTTATGCATCAGTTTGTGGGCCCAAATCCTCCACGTCCACACCCATGCCCAAACCCATCATGTTCTCACAAGCAACGCCTCCAAAAAGGCAAAGGAGGATCTGGAAATCTTGATCCTCACTGTGATTCTTCTGAGAGAAGAAAGGAAGAAACAGGTTCAGAAAGGTGGTGTTAGTCCATTGTCACACAGCCAGCGCATGGCAACAGCACAAATGGGACGCCTGTCTGCCTGGCTCTGGTGCCTGGGTTCCTTCCTCCCATACTACACTTGAGCATAGGCCAGGAAGTGGTGAAAATCCTACTTTCTGGTGCCCCTTGTCACTGCCTTTAGAGCTCCTGTCCCACAAAGGGTCACGGAGGCCCAGGGAGTATGTGTGAAGGGACCTGGGGTGCCCAGTAAGAGGGGACCCAGTGGGCCCCAGGATCCCAGGGCCTTTGTCGAAGGGTCATGTGGGAAGCAGAACTGCCCCAGGATTGCCCAGGCCCTGGAGTGCACTCGTCAGAGCCCTCCTCCTTAGGGACTCCCAGGGTGAGTAAGAGCTCCCTTACTCAGCCACGATGCTGCCACCCTCTCCAGGGGCCCCTCCCAGCCAGATGTCAGTGGAGGAGGAGGAAGAGGAGGAGGAGGACAGGGAAAGAAAGGGGAGGCGAGGCTATCACCCCAGTCCAAGGCTGCTGGCTCCCAGGCCTGGTGTTAGTGGGAGGGACAGGGCGGGGCAGGAACAGCCGGCTCTGTGCCCAGAGCCAAAACGAAAGCACTCGGCTGTGCTGGGACTGGAGTCAGGATTCCCGGGAGAGGGAGTGCGCAAGCTGGTCGGCCCTGGGACCCTGAGGCTGGGGAGGGATTCCGGCCCCTCCTGCCTACAGGCTCTGGGCTGAGTGGGAGCAGAGGTGTGGTGTCTGCCCCCCTTCGGGGGGGCAGGACAGGGCCTCAGGCCTGGGTGCCACCTGGCACCTAGAAGATGCCCGTGCCTTGGTTCCTGCTGTCCTTGGCACTGGGCCGAAGCCCCGTGGTCCTCTCTCTGGAGAGGCTTGTGGGGTCTCAGGATGCTGCCCGCTGCTCTCCGGTGAGTCTGGGGCCCTGGCAGGGTTGGGGAAGGCTCAGGGTTCAGTCTGCTGCCCATCGAGGCCCTAGCCTGGCTCCTGTCACTGCCACCACCACCAGAACCGCCCTGGCTGGTCTGTCTGGTGCTGAGGCATGAGAGAAGACCAGGGAGGGGGCAAAGCTGGGTCTGTCGTCTTCTGGGAGGGGCTGGAATAGAGAACCCAGAAAGAGGTGGGCGGGGGTCTCAGGCAGGGAAAGATGGTTAGATTTGGGGGCATAAGTGCTGACTCTCCTTTACCTCCTTCCCAGGGCCTCTCCTGCCACCTCTGGGGTGAGTAGCCCTACTTTTAGAGAGAAAAGAACTTCCTAGGTTAGTGGAAGGGAGGGGAGCTGCCCTAGTCCCATACCTTCACCACCCACCCTCTGCCCAGGAAGAGCCCAAAGCTCTTTGGCCCTCCGGGGCTGTCAGGTGCAACCAAACTCTGGGTTCAGAACAGCCTCAGCTCCCATCCTTCCCTTCACGCACAGATGGTGACGTGGTCTGCCTGCCTGGGAGTGTAGTGTCCACCCCAGGCCCAGTGCTGGTGCCCACACACCTGCAGACTGAACTGGTGCTAAGGTGCTACCAGGAGACCGACTGCGACCTCTGTGTGCGCGTGGCTGTCCACTTGGCTGTGCACGGTGAGCATGTCATCCCGCGACGGTGCAGTGCCCATGTGAATGTGTCTGTGATGGGCCTGAGGACTAAGGAGTCTGTCAGGCAGCCCGGGGCATCCTCAGTGTTCTGCTGGAGGACACTGGCTGAAGGACCCCCAGGTCAGCCTGGTCTCCCTGTCCACCCCCATGCCCCAGGCCTGGCCCCTGCTTCCCAGCACTGGGCTTTCTGGAAGGAAGCCAAGCCCAAAGCGAGCCCAGGGCGGGGGGCCTGACCTCAGCCTCCCTCTTGGGTTCTTCCAGGGCCCTGGGAAGAGCCTGAAGATGAGGAAAAATTTGGAAAAGTAGCTGACCCAGAACTTGAGGAGCCTAGGAATGGTGAGGAGAGTCTTGCTGGCCCAGCTGCCCCACACCAGGGCCTTGCCTGTGACCCCTGGTCCTGACTGACCCCTGCCCTGTTGCTCACAGCCTCTCTCCAGGCCCAAGTGGTGCTCTCCTTCCAGGCCTACCCTACTGCCCGCTGCGTCCTGCTGGAGGTGCGAGTGCCTGCTGCCCTCGTGCAGCCTGGTCAGTCTGTGGTATGTGAAATAATAACAATAACCACCTCCTAGACATGGAATCTGAAAAGTGCTTTCACGTGCGTTATCTCTTTAATCCTGATTCTGGAGGGCTGTGGGCAAGTCCTTTCAGCCCTTTATGCCTCAGTTTTCCTGTCTGTAAAGTGGGAATAAGAATAGTCCTACTTCATATGGCTGTTGTGAGAATTAAAGGAGTTGATACGTGTAAAACGCCTCGTGTCATGCCCAGCACTGAAGGGCCTCCGGAAGTTTCACTTTTCCTTTCTTTCGTAATCCCCAAAACTACCGTATGAACTAGGCACTACTATCACCCTCATTTTCCAGATAGAGAAACTGAGGCTTGGAGAGGGGAAGTCTGTGGGCTGGCTGCACTTTTCTGGGCTTCCTGCCATACCATGTCTGCTCCATGTACACACCATGGCGCAGGGTGCTGGGACTTCTCCCTACCTCAGGAGGCCACATGTGGCTGGAAGATGTATCTCCACTCGGGCCAAATCACTCAAACCCTTTGACTTCCCCTCCGGCCCCCAGCCCCCAGCTGATTTCCTCTTATCTGGAAAACTATAGAACGGGAGAGCATCTGCTGGCCCACCTCACAGGACAATTGTGAGGACCACTGAGGCACTGGTATGAGAACCACTTCCGTGGGAAGGGGCGTCCCATATTTGCATTGGGGTCACCCCTGAGCTTTGCCCCATGACCCAGGACAGTAGGGGTAGGGGCAGGGACTCAAATAGCTGGGGCTCTATCCCTGCCCTGCTGACACCCCTACTGAGGGTGTGTCCTTTAGAACTGGGGCCCTTGAACGACACTTTAGTGGTGGAATTTCGGGCCATACAGTATAAATAGAGTTATTGGTTGGAGAATAGGGAAGGGGGTGAGCAGAGTGGTCCTTGGAGAGGAGCCCAGAGCCCTTGGCCTAGATTCTGAGCCCCATACCACCAGCTTCCCACCACCTCTCTCCTCACAGGGCTCTGTAGTCTTTGACTGCTTCGAGGCTGCTCTGGGGACTGAGGTGCAAATCTGGTCCTACACTCAGCCCAGGTACCAGAAGGAAGTCAACCTCACGCTGCAACTGCCTGGTAAGTGGCCCCAGAGCCTCAGGGGCCCCAAGTCCTGGCCTCCCTGCTCTTTGTCCCCTCTAGCCACTACCCTTCTGCTTTCACCCCCTTCCTAGTCCCGTCCCGCCTCGGGCAAGGGTCTGAGGTCTCCTCCTCCCCAGAATCAGTCCCCCTTGCCTCTTCTCCCCGGGTGACATTGCTTTCCAGTGCTCGAGAAGCTGCTTTGGGGGCTGGGTAGATGTGGGTGGTATTTAGGGGACAGGGAGCCCTTCCCAGTGCTCCCCATGGGTTGGGTCGCCCCCCTTCTTTCTTTGGCCCCCCGCCCCACTGGAGGCTTTTCTGTGATCTCTCCCCAGACTGCAGGGGGCTGGAAGTCCGGGACAGCATCCAGAGCTGCTGGGGTAGGGGCTAGGGCAGTGGGGTGGGGAGGAGGGGGGCGGGGTCTGGAGTGTCAGGGACCCGTGGAGTCAGCCCCAGGTCCGGGTGCCACAGCCCAGAAGCTCCCAGAGCACATTCATTCATTCATGCATTCATTCATCACACATGAACTGCAGTAGCTCCTACTCTGTGCCAGGCACTGGGAATATAAAGGTGAATCTCTCACTCCTTATAGCAAATACTTATTAGTACCAGGGACATCTAGAGGCCCAAAGCATTGTCAAGATTTGGTGCACCCCCCATATATCAAAATAAAAATCATATTAAACCATAAAATAAGGGCTAAGAAAGTCAAGGTTTTGATGATTTTTCCCAGGCACTGTTTGGATTTTGTTTTTGCTTTCTTTATTTTTTGTTTTGTATTTTCTTTTCCTTGTTTTTTTTTTTTTTTTGGTGAGGAAGATTGGCCCTGAACTAACATCTGTGCCAATCTTCCTCTATTCTGTATGTAGGATGCTGTCACAGCATGGCTTAACCAGCGGTGTGTAGGTCCATGCCAGGGATCTGAACCTGTGAACCCTGGGCCAAGGAGCGGAGCACGTGAACTTAACCACTGTGCCACTGGGCCAGCCCCTTGTATTTTCTTTTTTTATTGTGATATAACATACATACAGAAAAGTGTGTAAAGTGCATTAGTTTTACTGTCCAGTTCAATTAATTTTTACATATGTATACAAGGTGTAACTACCACCCAGATCAAGATATAAACATTGATCTTTTTTGAAAACTTAAGTTATTTCAACTTCATTTTCTTGTTGGTTCCTTAAACTTATCTTGGCCTGCCTCTTTGGTAATTCATTAAAGACTACTCAGCACCAGAGCTTTGAGGACATATATTTCATGCCTTTATTCATTCAGTAGACATTGATTAACTTATTCAACAGATACTTTGAGTGATTACTTTGCCCAAGGCATAGCCCTAGGCACTGGAGATAAATCAATAAACAAAACTGACAAAAATCCCCGCCCTCACGGAGCTGACATTCTAGCTGGGAGTCAGGGTCAGTGTGGGGGAGATGGAGGACACAATAAATACATGGGGTTGTGGAATATGCAATAAGTTAGAACATGATTAGTGCTATGGGGAAAATGTAGGGAAGGCGGATACAGAGGGAGGGATATGGAGGGAGTTGCTGGGATCAGGGAAGGCCTCACTCTAGTGAGCAAAGACCTGAAAGAGGTGAGGGAGGAGCCAGGTGGGTATCTGAGGGAAGAGGGTTCCATGCAGAGGGAGCTGCCAGTGCAAAGGGCCTGAGGCAGGAATGTGTCTGGTGTGTTTCTGTATCAGTAAGGAGGCCAGTGCGTCTGCAGCAGATTAATTAAGGACAAGAGTGCTAGGAAATGAGGTTAAGAGTGGTTACAGCAGCCAGATTGGGTAGGGCCTTGCAAGCCATTGTAAGGACTCTGGCTTTTACTCTGGGAGTAATATAGGGGCCATCAGAAGGTTCTGAGCAGAGGAGAATGATTTATTTTACAGTGGTTACAAGATCCTTTGAACGGCTGCAGAGGGAGAAGCAGGAAGAAGAGTTGTCTCAAGACCACACACTGGGGCCTACACGAGCGCCTCTAGACAGCAGCTCCTGGGCCGGCTGCTGGGGACAAAGTCTGGTCTGAGATGGGGACTCAGGCTCTACCTTACAGGAGATTCTTTAAATCTAAGGGATTTAAAGAAACTCCAAAGGGTCACTCGGCAGGTATGGCCCAGGCTTGGGTGTGCAGAAGAGGTGGAGGAAGTCTGTCTCTCTCTTTGCTTCCCCCACAGCCCTGCCCTGGCTCAGCGTGACTGCAGACGGCGACGATGTGCTCCTGGTACTGGATGTCTCTGAGGAGCAGAGCTTTGGCCTCTCCTTGTACTGGAACCAGGTCCAGGGCCCTATAAAACCCTGGTGGCACAGAAACCTGGTGAGGCCTCCCCCTCCCCAAATCCATTCCCGTTCTAGGACGATGCTCCTGCTAAGGATGTGAGTGCATTATGAATGGGGACCCTTGAAGAGGACACAGCGACTCACACCTAAAGCAAGGAACATTGGTGGGGGAACTGCTGCCTGCCTGGTGTCCTCAACTTTGGCCTCCAGCCTTCCTCCTCCTTATCTTCTCCAACTTCTCCCCTTCTGCTTGTCCCACAGACTGGGCCGCAGACCATTACCTTGAACCACACAGACATAGTTCCCTGCCTCTGTGTTCAGGTAGGAGCAGAGTCCAGCTGGGTGCCAGGGGAGGGGGATTGGGGAGTTGGTGTGGGGGGTGGCCCTCACTTTCTTGGTCTCACCATCCTCCACACTCCTCTTTGAAGCGGAAACTGTGACTCCTTAGGGTGACTGGCCCTCCCTTGACCTTTGCTGTCCTATGCCTTCTGGCTGTTGCATGCGCTGAATGCTCTTCCCGATCTTCTATCCACTTATGGATCCCTACTTATGCTTCATGGCCCTGTGCAGATGTCACCTCTTCCTTGAAGCCTTCCTCTACTCCTCCAATTCCCTCTTTGTGCTCCCCTGAGGGTACAGCATGTGCTGTGAATTCAGACTGGTTTGAATCCTGACTCTTGCCATTTGCTACCTGTGTGACCTTGGGCAAGTCACTTCACCTCTCTGAGCCTGTTTCCTATCTATAAAATGGGAAGAATAACAGTGCCAGCCTTATAGGGCTGTTATAAGGAAGTGTGCCACATTCAGGCTCATACATGTTGGCTCTTTCCTCTCCCTTTGATTGCACATTTAATTCGTCATCAGGTTCCATCTATTTTACCTTTGACATTAATGTCTCTCATTCTCTTTCCCTCTCCTTTCCATCTCAGCCCAGTTGGGGCTTCTATCATCTCTCCTCTAGACTGTTTCAATAACTTCTGGCCCCACCTCCTTTCCTGTAGCTTCGATGGCATTCCGGCCCATATTCTGACCCCCAACTGAACCTCTCCACTGTATCTTTCCCATGATTCCCCTCTACGAGAATTTCGTTACATCCAGATGGAGCTACTTATCAAGATACACTCACCTCTGTGCTTTTGCTCAGGCGGGTCCAACTACCTGAAATCCCTCACTTCTTTTCCATACAACCAAATCCTTCCAGCTCAAATGTCACCTCTTTCCCAAAGCTTTTCCCCAACCTCCTGGCCTCTCTTTTCTCCAAATCCCCTTGCACTTCTGTCCATTTATCACTTCCTTTTTTATTTGGACACCTATTTAATTTCTTCTTGTACACAACAAACATTCAATAAATTAGTGATCAATTTATTAACTTATATACGTTTTATCCTTACTACACCTGTGCATTTGTCATTTCCTTGAAGGCAAGAAAATAATATCTAATTCAAATTTAGTAACTCCCCCAGATCCTTGCACAATGCCTGGGACATAGTAGGTGCTCTTAATTAAAGGCTTGCTGACTAAATTAATATATTATCTCTAGTGCTAAGCACATAATGGGTGCACTTTAAAAGTCTACTGAAAGAATAAACGAATGTATCCTTAACACTAGCACAGTGCCTGGTACATAGTAAGTTTTCACAAAGTGATCGTGGATTTCATTATTGAGTGTCCCTTGTGCCAACCATAGTGGTAAGACACGTAGTAGGTACTCATTAAGAGTTTGTTAAATGAAGATGTTGCCAGATGTTGGCATAGGGTTTACTGAAAGAATAAATGTGTGCATCTCTAGGGCCTTGCAAAGGGTGAAAAGACCGAGCAAGTGTTTGTGAAACATCAGGTGAATGAATGCGTCCCCAGTGCCCAGCAGAGGCCCTAGCACATGTTCCTGGGGGTTGGCTGGCTTGAACTGACCTTTGGAGCTTGTTTCTTTTCCAGGCGTGGACTCTGGAGCCCGACTCCGTCAGGACGAACATCTGCCCCTTTAGGAAGGGTGAGCGGACCGGCCGGGGCCAGGGTGCGAGTGGTGCGGCCGGCGGTTCCCAGTGTGTAGCGAGCCCACCTTCTCCCTGCAGACCCCCGCGCACACCGGAACCTCTGGCAAGCCGCCCGCCTGCAGCTGCTGCCCCCGCGGGGCTGGCGGCTAGACGCACCGTGCTCACTCCCGGCCCAGGCCACACTGTGCTGGCAGGCACTGGGTGGGGGCCCCTGCCAGCCTCTTGTCCCGCTGCTGCCCAGAGAGAATGTCACTGTGAACGTAAGCGAGGCCGCGGCGGCTCCTGGGGTCGCAGATGGAAGGGGAGCCCAGCGGGGGTAGCTTTCCTGACCCAATCCATTCCCCTCTTTCCACAGATGGCCCTTGAGTTCCCTTTGCTGAAAGGCCACCCCAACCTCTGTGTCCAGGTAAGAAAGGGGATGCCAGAGTGCTCGTGCAGACCCTCAGAGAAGTCACAGTGCTCTGGACTCACTTTATCCTTGGGTCCCTGGAGCAGAGCGGTTACCTGCTTCCTCTTTAGGAGTTCCACTGTGTCTTTACTCTAGCAGTGCATGGGACCCTGGGCAAGTCACTTCCCCTCTCTGACCGTCAGTCTCGTCTGTTTAATAGGATGATAATAATTACTTCATAGCATAGTACTGAAGATTAAACAAGAGAAGTGCTTCACTTGAGGGACTGGTACAGACTAAATGCTCAACAAATGCCAGCTGCTTTCTTTATTGCTATCATTATCCAATTTCCCTACCTGTAGAAGGGGTTGCTCTCCAACTTCAAAGGGTGATTCTGGGGCCGGCCCCGTGGCTTAGTGGTTAAGTGCGCGCGCTCCGATGCTGGCGGCCTGGGTTTGGATGCTGGGCACGCACCGACGCGCCGCTTCTCCGGCCATGCTGGGGCCGTGTCCCACATACAGCAACTAGAAGGATGTGCAACTATGACATACAACTATCTACTGGGGCTTTGGGGGAACAATAAATAAATAAAATTAAAAAAAAAAAAAAGGGTGATTCTAAACATATTCACGCAAGATTTACTGAGCTTCTGCTATGTACCAGGCACTGTTTTAGGCACTTGGGATTGATAGTCAGTGAATAAAACCAATAAATATTCCCACTCTTATAGAGCTTATCTTCTAATGGAGAAAGGCAGACAATAGGTATAATAATTATTATGGGATGTTAAAATTGTATATAAATACTATGGGAAAAGGTGGGGAAGGATAAGGGAGGATTGGGGCTGCAATTTCAAGTGGGGTGGTCAGGTGAGGCCTCTTGGAGAAAGTGGTTAGATGAGAAGGGAATGTATAAAGTGCTTGGTCAGACATGAAAAGAGCTAATGTAGGGGCATAAGGCCCTTTAGCACAGATGACCTCACAAGGCTGAGGCTGAGAAAGATGGAGTGACTCCTAATCACCCAACCTTGAAGCCATATCTGCCTAAGGTCAGGTCCAGAGTGCAGACCCCCTAACCCGACAGGCCTCCCCTTGCCTGTGCCTTCTCTTCTGTTCTTTCTGGCCTTGACTCTTGCTTTTCCTTGTGTCCCTAACCCTGGCCCCTTCCAAGCAGGTGAGCAGCTGGAAGAAGCTGCAGCTGCAAGAGTGTTTGTGGGCTGGTGAGTGGGGCTGGGAGAGGCTGGGGCAGGGCTGTTGCAATTGGGGTAAACTCCGGAAGTGCCAGCTCCTGGGGGTGAAAGTAAGGCATGGGGGGGGCAAGTGGCAGCCCCCAGCAAGGTTGGGTCTCACTCAGAGTGGGCTTTCACCCCTTCCAGACTCCCTGGGGCCCCTTAAGGATGATATGCTGCTGGTGGAGACACGAGGTCCCCAGGACAACAGATCACTCTGTGCTTTGGAACCCAGTGGCTGCACCCCACTGCTCAACAGGGCCTCCACGGTGAGAACCGGGGGGCTCTCCTCCATGTACCTCCCCAGCTCCATCTCAAACCTTGCCTCAAATTTTCCCTTTATCCAGTTTTTTCCCTCCTCTGTGCCAGGCCCTGTGCTAGTCTCTGGGAATGTGGGGGTGACTCAGACCTGGGCCCTGTTCTCAGTGGCCTCTCAAAAGTCTCCCAGCACCCCCCATATTCTGCCCAGGTGCAGCCTGGTAGTCTCCTAGGTGTAGTACCCCTAGGTGACAGCCCCCTACCCCTTGGCTTGGCAGAGGGCAGCTCGCCTCGGAGAGCAGTTACTACAAGACCTGCGGTCAGGCCAGTGTCTGCAGGTGAGTAGGTGGCAGGAGGGCCCCACCCCAATGCCCAAGGGCAATGGCCCTCAAACTCTGTCCTTGACCTCTTCCACCTCTTCCTGTGACTAACAGAGGGCACCAGGGAAACTTGCTCTTCCTAGGCAGGGGCCTCCTCACTGTTCCTCTAGCACCCACCCACCATCTATTTGTGCTTATTTTGTGTCCAGCCCTGGGGAAGCTAAGAGTTGAAGAAGCATAGTTCTTGTCCCCAAGTTGCTCACTGCTGGCTGGAAACCGGTAAACAGATAACCACATTCCCATGTGCTAAGCATTGGGTGCCAGGGAGAGCTTTAAGGGTCTCTTCATGTGGACCGGATCTGGCATGGAGGCAGGCACAGTCCAGGCAGTAGGCACAGCATAAGCAAAGGCAGAGCAGCTTGCCAGAAGCTGCTGTGTGGGGGGAAATATGCAGGGAGGCTGGGAGTTTGGAGATCAGGCTGGCCAGAACTTGATGGATGTTGAACACCAAGCCAGGGGCTCTGGATGTGGTTTTGTTTGTCTCTTACAGCTGTGGGATGATGACCTGGGAGCACTGTGGGCCTGCTCAATGGACAAGTGTGAGTATTACTAGAACTGCCGTTCTTCTCTGTACCAGGAGCTGGAATTTTGACAGGGACCACTCCTGGGGGCAGCACACACAATGGTCTTGTCCTTCCCTGGCTCAGATCAGTCAGATGGTCATTCCTTCATTCATTCAAAAGCCATGATGAGTGTTTGCAGGGATCCCAGCATCACCAAAAAGACCCAATCCCTGCTCCCACCCAGCCGTAGAAGGCTAGAAAGACATTAGCCAAAATCACTTACATTTAGTAAGTGTGAGCTGTTGAAACACTCACTATAGAGTAAAAGTGTCCAAAGCCATGAATCATATAATGTGGACCGACCTCAGGGGGGTGAGGAGGTCAGGGGAAAGGTTCCAGCTGAACTCTGAAGGGGGGGAGAGATGCATTTTTGCGAAGACGGTAGGGTGCTTTTTTGAGGAACTCCAAGGTCGCCAGTGTGGCCAGAGGGTCTTAGGAGGCAGGCCTCTGTCATGAGATGAGGACACAAGGGCCATGTAGGGCTTTGGAAGGCAATGTGAGGAATTTAGATTTTATCTTAACAGTAGCAGGAGCTTACTGAAGGGCTATAACCAGATTTGTATTTTGAAAAGCTCTCTGGGGCTGCCATGTGTTGAATAGATTGGAGGCAAAAAAGAGGTCAGGGACACCAGTTAGAAGGCTGTTGCAGTCATCCAAAGGAGAGAAGTCCAGGACCCAGCAATCCTAGTCTTAGGGGACAAGAATATGGGTTGACATTTGAGCACTATGCCCGGCATTGTGTTAGGTGCTTTCTGTGTATTAATATATTTAGTTCTCACAACTCCTCTATGTAGCAGGTACTATTGTTATCCTAATTTTACAGAGGTGAAAACTGAGGCAGAAGGTGAAGTCACTTATCCAGGGCCACCCAAGGAGATGGATCTATATTCATATACTGGCTCTGCCACTATGTGCTGTGGACTTTGGGCAAATCACATCATTTCTCTGAGCCTCCGTTTTTCTCCTCCGTGAAGTGGAATGAAACTGTAAGGGCTCTAACTATCCTGTCTTCCCCTCTGGGTCTAGACATCCATCAGCGCTGGGTCCTGGTGTGGCTGGCCTGCCTACTCTTTGCCGCTGCGCTTTTCCTTCTCCTCCTTCTCAAAAAGGACCACGTGAAAGGTGAGTGCTTCCTGGCTCCCCATTCCCCAGGGCAGGGCTCGAGTGGGCCCGCGAGTTTGCCAAGAGAAGGCGGGGGCTCAGCTCACCGGCTGCCTCCGCCCCTCTACCCAAACAGGGTGGCTGAGGCTCTTGAAGGAGGACGTCCGCGCGGGGGGTGAGTGTGAGCGAGCGCGGGCGGGGACCGCCCCCGCGGGCCGGGCCTCGGGCCATCTCACTTCTTCCCTCCCCTCTGTTCTCTCTGGCAGGGACCGCCAGGGGCCGCGCGGCTCTGCTCCTCTACTCCGCCGACGACGCCGGCTTCGAGCGCTTGGTGGGCGCTCTGGCGTCGGCGCTGTGCCAGCTGCCGCTACGCGTGGCCGTGGACCTGTGGAGCCGCCGTGAGCTGAGCGCGCAGGGGCCCCTGGCCTGGTTCCACGCGCAGCGGCGCCAGACCGTGCAGGAGGGGGGCACGGTGGTCCTGATCTTCTCGCCCGGGGCCGTGGCGCTGTGCCACGAGTGGCTGCAGGACGGGGCGCCGGCGCCCAGGGCGCACGGCCCGCACGACGCCTTCGCCGCTTCGCTCAGCTGCGTGCTGCCCGACTTCCTGCAGGGCCGGGCGCCCGGCCGCTACGTCGGGGCCTACTTCGACAGACTGCTGCACCGGGACGCCGTGCCCGCCCTCTTCCGCACCGTGCCGGTCTTCTCCCTGCCCTCGCAGCTGCCCGACTTCCTGGGGACCCTGCAGGGGCCCGGCGCCCCCCGCCCCGGGCGGCTCGGGGAGAGGGCAGAGCAAGTGTCCCGGGCCCTGCAGCCCGCCCTGGACAGTTGCCTTCGTTCCCCGGGAACCCCAGGGACTGCACGCGGGATGGGACCGGAGGCAGGGGACAGGACTTGAATAAACGCAGACGCTATTTTTCTATCCCTGTCTCCCACGTCTCTGTGACCGAGCCGCTAGCCTGACACACCGCCCGGGGCGCGCATCCCCGCCCCCCTTTAACTCCCGGACAGGTGCAGCCCGGCGCCGCCTCTGCTTGGCTGGCGTCGAGTGACGCAATGGCACATGGCCCGCCACCATTGGCTCTGGCGTGGGCTCCGCCCCCTGGACTGCGGAGCTGGGGGAGGTTGCACGTCTTACGCAGGCGGCGGCAGCAGCGGCGCGGCGGCGTTGGGGAGACTGAGCACTTGGCGCCCGCGGGCCGGGTTCGTCGTCTCTTTCTCCGTCGCGGCCTCGGCGGACCCGGATCTTCCCCTGCAGGCTCGTGGGATACGCCTTTGCCGCGTGCAGGCCCCGAACCTGACCCCTTCTCTTCATATCCGGATCCGGGCTCCTCCCCCCAAGACCGCCCCTGCGGCCTCTTCTCCCCAATACTTGGAGTCTGACCCATCCTCCCTAATTCCGCTAATCAGACCCCTAATAACCTATATTCAGACCCTGAAACAGTAAGCTGACCACTGTCACCTGGCAGAGGATCTGGGCCACCTCCACGGTGACGAGGATACATTATTCCCGTCCTGGCATTGCAGAATAGGCTGCCTTCCGACCATCACCCCTCCCCCAGCCGTGCCCCAGTCTAGCCTCCTTTTCTAATAATACAGATCTGGGCTCCCAGACCCGCCGCACCTCAGAACCGATCCTTTTCTTTCTCGCCTGGCTCCTCCAGCGAAACCCACCGCATGCCCTCTATCTACAGGTCTCCAGCCTGGGAAAAGATGGCCCCGTGGCCCCAGAGGGGCCTGGTCCCACCTCTGCTCTGGGGCCTGAGCGTCTTCCTCAGCCTCCCAGGCCCCGTCTGGCTCCAGCCGTCTCCGCCTCCCCAGTCTTCTTCCCCCACTGAACCCCATCCGTGTCATACCTGCCGGGGACTAGTCGACAGCTTCAACAAGGTGGGTGCACCAGCAGCCTCGTGGGAGGGGGCCCAGCTGCTATAGCACAGGGGTTGAGAATGGAGAGCTCTGGAGTGCAAATCTGCATGGACTCAAGTCTCAACCTGGTTACTTACTAGTTGTATGGCCTTGATCAGATTGCCTCTCTGTGCCTCAGTTTCCTGGCCGGTGAAATACTGAAGTGCTAGAACATGCCAGGCACTGTGCTTAGCTATTACTAATTTTCTTCATTTCCAGGGCCTGGAGAGAACCATCCGGGACAACTTTGGAGGTGGAAACACTGCCTGGGAGGAAGAAAAGTTGTCCAAATACAAAGACAGGTAAGGGGTTGGTGGGGTGGGTTTGTATACCTCACTTCCCAATCTCTGGTTTGCTGGTGGGGGCCTAGAAACTCTTGGGGAGCACTTATTCAACAAATACCACTGGATATTTATAGTACAGCAGTAAATAAGGCAAACAAAATCTCATGTTCAAGGAGCTTACTTTCTAGTAGAAGAGACAGACAGTGAATAAGTAGATAAATAATGCCCTATCAAGTGAAGAACAATAAAGCAGGGAGGACTACAGAATGGTGGGAGGCCTGGTGTTCAAGGTGTGACATTTGAACAGAGACCTGAAGTGAAGAAGCAAGCTATGTCACAGTCAGGGAGGGGATTTGGACAGAGTGGGACTGAGCTCGGTGTATTTGAGAAGTGGCTGTGTTTGGAGTGAGCAGAAGGGAGAGTGGTAGAAGGTGAAGGCAGAGGGCCTTGAAGGCCACAGAAAGGAGTTGCGATTTCATTCTGAGTGTAGTGGGAAGCCATTGGAAGGTTTGGAGCAGAGAAGTGATGTGGTCTTATTTATACCTTTAAAAGGTCACTGCTGTGTAGCAAATGGACTACAGGGGCCCAGGGTGGAGGAAGCAGGGAGACCAGTCAGGAGGCTAGTGTGTAGTCTAGGCATGAAGGCAGCCTGAGCTAGTGTGGTATCTAGTGGTGCACATGGTGAGAAGGGGTCAAATTCTGGGTATATTTTGCAGATAGACTCATAGGACTTGATGATGCATTCATTATGGGGTATGAGAGAAAACTAATAAAAGAAGCTTACTAGGTTCTGGGCCTGAGCAACTGGGTGAATGAATAGTGGGGCTGTTTTCTGAGATGGGTAGAACTGAGGAAGGAAGGAGAAGGTTTAGGGGAGGAGTGGAATCAGGCATTCTCTTTGAATATGTTGGGCCATTAAACAGCCAAGTTGAGTTAGATTTAGGAGAGAAGTAGGAACTGGAAACATGAGTTTGGGAGTCATCAGCATATAGTCAGTAGATAAGGCCTTGGGACAGATGAGATTATATAGGGAGAGTCTTGAGAGAGGAGAGAGGCCCAAGCCCCAGGCTCTCTACCTTTTCAAAGTCAAATTGAGAAGAAGGAATCAGCAAAGACTTGGAGTTAGACAGACCTAGAATGACCCTTTATACCCTAAGGAAGTTCACTTAACCTCTCTGTGCCTCAGTTTGCTCACTGGAAAATGAGGACATTAATACCTGCTTTGCCTGTTTCATAGGATTGTGGTAAGGATTAAACTGTGATGCCCATTAGAAATAAAAGGTTTTGTTATTAGGTAACATTGGTCATTTTCCCTTCCATCAGTGGGCCTCAGTTTCCTCATTTGGGAATGAGGGCCCTAAGGGCACTTCCACCTCTATAATGGCTCCTGTTTTGTTTCTTGTTTTTTTTTTAAATCACTTCTTCCTATATGCCAGACACTGTGCCATACCTTTAAATCCATAATACATTATATGTATATATTAAAAAAATTTTTTTTGTGGTAGAATACACATAACAGAAACTTTACCATTAGAGACATTTAGTACATTCACAATGTTCTGCAACCATTACCACTATCTAGTTTCCAGAACATTTTCATTAACCCAAAAGAAACTCCATACCCATTAAGCAGTCACTCCCCAATCTCCCCTTCCCCCAGCCTCTGGCAACCACTAATCTGCTTTCTATCTCTATGGATTTTCTGATTCCATTGGAATCATACAATATGTGGCCTTTTGTGTCTAGCTTCTTTCACTTAGCATAATGTTTTCAAGGTTCATTCATATTGTAGTGTATATCTGTATTTCATTCCTTTTTAAGGCCTAATAGTATTCGGTTGTATGGACATACCACATTTTGTTTATCCATTCATCACTTAATGGACATCTGAGTTGTTTCTACCTTTGGGCTATTGTGTATAGTATTGCTATGAACATTTGTGTACAAGTTTTTGTTTGAACACCTGTTTTCCATTCTTTTGGGTATATACCCAGGAGTGGAATTATTGAGTCATATGGTGATCCCATGTTTAACTTATTGAGAGCTGCCAAACTGTTTTCCACAGTGGCTGCACCATTTTCATTCCCACCTGCAATGTAGGAGGCTTCCAATTTCTCCACATCCTCACCAACACTTGTTATATGAAATATTTTTCATCATATCTACACAGCCAAGGGTATTATATTCCATTGTGCAGATGCAGGAACTGAAGTATTCTACAACAAACCTGGAGGCAAAGTATTGTCTCTATTTTACAGGTTAGAAAACAGAGGTTCAACGGAGGTTAAGAGACTTCCCCAAAGTAACACAACTAGAGTCGAACTCCTCATTTGAGAGGTCTGACTCTCAAAACTAGTACCCCTTCATTATGCCCTATGGCCTTTCCTTTGACATTGTCTTGGCACCAGGAGGGGTGGGAGAGGAGACCTTAAGGAAGGTGGTGGGTGGAGTGGGGCATGTTCCCACCACCCCCACCCTGTCTGGTCAGTGAGACCCGCCTGGTAGAGGTGCTTGAGAGTGTGTGCAGCAAGTCGGATTTCGAGTGCCATCGCCTGCTGGAGCTGAGTGAGGAGCTGGTGGAGAGCTGGTGGTTTCACAAGTGAGTGGTGGGGGCCCCAGGGAGGGGCCACGGCAGGGCCTGGTGCTAAAGCAGGGGGTTGCATGCTAGGGGCTGTGTCCTGGTTTGGCTCCTTCTCCCAAACCCGGATCTGCTAAGGACTGGCTGGGGGACCCAGGCTCTCACTCTGAGCTTGTTTACCCTTCTGCCAAATGGGGAAAGGGCGTTGGTCAAGTGGCCTATGGGTCTTATGCCCAAGATGGGTTGTATCCCAGATTCTGTGGGAGGTTGAGGTGGGCAGCACCTCTGACGCTGTCTCAGCCCCACTCACTGTCACTTGCCCCGCCTCAGGCAACAGGAAGCCCCAGACCTCTTCCAGTGGCTCTGCTCAGATTCCCTGAAACTCTGCTGCCCCTCAGGCACCTTCGGGCCCTCCTGCCTTCGTAAGTTTTTCAAGTTCCTCTTAGGGGATGAGAGAGGACAGATGAGGCCAGGGATGCAGTCCTGGCTCTGCGCCTAGCTGGCTGTGTGAGGTCAGGCTGCTCAGATAACTTCTCTGGACCTCAGTTCTCGTCTGCTCACAGGCGAGATGAGCAAATCAGTGGGGAAAGGCTCTGAGAAAAGGTATGGGGCTAGACTGAGTCAGATGTGGTGGTGGTTTTATCATTTACTTGGGAAATGACCCCCTCATTTCCCATGCCTGAATAGACCAGGCCCCATCCCCTGGACTAAGGTGACCTTCCTAGGGATGGGCAGGTGCTGCCTGGAAGGCCCCATTGTCACCACCTTTTTCTGCATACAGTCCTGAGGCAGGAACTGGACTTACTACCAGCCCTTTTTAACTACTTTTTGTGTGTGTGTGTGTGTGTGTGTGTGAGGAGGATCAGCCCTGAGCTAACATCCATGCCAATCCTCCTCTTTTTGCTGAGGAAGACTGGCCCTGAGCTAACATCTATTGCCAATCATCCTCCATTTTTTCCCTTTTTCTCCCCAAAGCCCCAGTGATAGTCGTATGTTATAGTTGCACATCCTTCTAGTTGCTGTATGTGGGATGCTGCCTCAGCATAGCCTGATAAGTGGTGCGTCGGTGCGCGCCCAGGGTCCGAACCCGGGCCGCCAGTAGCAGAGCGCCCGCACTTAACTGCTAAGCCACAGGGCTGGCCCCACTACCAGCCCTTTTTAGAAAAATCTCTCCGGAAGCTGCAGATAAACAATTAGTGACAAAGATGGTCAATTCTGTCTTTATAAAAGAAAAGATTTAGAAATAACCTAACTGTTCCACAGTGGGGGTTGGTTAAGTAAATTTCATATAGTTTTATGGCAAAATATTATGTTGCCATTAAAATTGTTTCCTCTCCAAAAATGTTTTAACGACATGGGGAAAATATTCTTTCTATAGAAGATTGTATCTACACTCTCACCCGGTTTGATGTCTGCCCACAGCCTGTCCTGGGGGCGCAGAGAGGCCCTGCGGTGGCTACGGGCAGTGTGAAGGGGAAGGGACTCGAGGGGGCAGCGGGCATTGTGACTGCCAGGCTGGCTACGGGGGAGAGGCCTGTGGCCAGTGCGGCCTCGGCTACTTTGAGGTGGAGCGCAACGCCAGCCATCTGGTATGTTCGGGTAGGTAGCCAAGGGGCACAGTGCTGGGCAGGGGAGATGGGGTGCCTGCCTGCCCATCCTCATACTTCCCCCATTCCACTCAGCTTGTTTTGGCCCCTGTGCCCGCTGCTCAGGACCTGAGGAATCAAACTGTTTACAGTGCAAAAATGGCTGGGCCCTGCATCACCTCAAGTGTGTAGGTGAGTGGGGCCCTGCCCTAGGTCTGGGGAGGTGGGCAGGGGCCTGGGCTTGGTCCCCCATCAACACATGCATCTCTGGGCTACACCAACACAGTCCCCATCTTCATGGAGATCTCAACCTAGTTGGGAAGGCAGAAAAGTAGCCAAGCACTTACAGTATAGACTGATCTTTGTACAGTGAGAGATATTCCTGATCCAGCTCTGTGGTGGGCAATCGGGACAGGCTTCTTGGAGGAGGTGTCACTTAGTCCAAGCCTTGAAAATAGAGGAAGGGTTAGCCAGGAGAATTAGGATACTCAACTTGGGGTCAGGAAACCTGGGTTTGAGACTTGCTTTGGGCCCTGCCTAGCTATTTATATAGATCAAGGTAAAGGCTAAGCTGCTGTAACAAAAAGATCTCCAGAGACTGTGGCTTAAAGAATAGAGAGGTTTATTTTTATCTCACATCACAGTCTCAAAGTGTGGTCCCAGCTAGCAGGGAAGCTCTGCTTGTCACAGTCATTCAAGGACCCAGATTCCTTCTATCTTCCTGTGCAGTCATCTCCTTGGGTGTCATCTTCGTGGTTGAGGCTGGGTCCCAGGCACCTCCATCTTCCATGGCCTGGCACTCAGGAAGTGAGAAAGGGAAGAAGTGCGTGGAAGAGTCCAAGTCCATTGTTTTAAGGCCAAGCTAAAAGTGGAGCACATCACCTCTGTTTACATCCTCTTGGCCCGAACTCAGTCACAAGGCCACACTTAGCTGCAAGGCAGATTGGAGAAGGTAGTCTGTAGCTGAGCAGCCCAGAGACTGCTGCACCTCTCCCTCTCTCTGGGGGTGGACAGCCTGCAGTTTAGGCGACGCCCTGTGAACCTGGGCAAGTCCATTCCCCAACAGCTCTAGCCTCAGCTTCCCTGTTAGTGAGCCAGGGACTGAAATCCCCACCCTGCTGGCCTCTCTGCAGACATCGATGAGTGTGGCACAGAGCGAGCCAGCTGTGGAGCTGACCAGTTCTGCGTGAACACGGAGGGCTCCTACGAATGCCGAGGTGAGTCCCCTCCTGCAGAAGAGGGGATGTGGGGAGGGTGGGAGGAGCTGCTCCACGCCTGCCCCCCCAACCCCCGACTTCTGCCTTCCCAGGCACCAGAACCTGCCAGGCAGCTTCTGGAGCAGGGCTTCTCTCCGGGCCTAGGGACAGCTCTCACCCTCGTCTCCTCTCTTCTCCAGATTGTGCCAAGGCCTGTCTGGGCTGCATGGGTGCAGGGCCCGGCCGCTGTAAGAAGTGTAGCCCTGGCTACCAGCAGGTGGGCTCCAAGTGTCTCGGTGAGTCCCCTGCCACTGGGGCACAGGTCACCTTGGAGTGCCTTACCCACCACAAACTGAGAGGGGCTGGAATCTGGACAGGGCAGAGGAAGGGAGGAAGGGCGGAAGGGCAGAAGGTTGCCTGGGCAAGGGCAGAGGGGAGTGTCAGGATGTGAGCGAGGTGGAGTCAGGGGTGCTACAGGTGCTGCCCTGGCAGTCAGGGCTCTGACCCCCCTCGCTCCCTCAAGATGTGGATGAGTGTGAGCCCGAGGTGTGTCCGGGAGAGAACCAGCAGTGTGAGAACACCGAGGGCAGTTACCGCTGCATCTGTGCCCAGGGCTACAAACAGATTGAGAGCGTCTGTGTGAAGGAACAGATCCCAGGTGAGCCCCATCCTGGCCCCCAGAACCCTGGAGAAGGGAGGTGCTCATCCAGGGGGAGGGCAGGTAAGCGCCTTCTGCAGGGAGCTACAGGCCCTGCCTCACCCCCACCACCACCAGCACCCATGAGGCTGCACTGAGACACACACCCCACATCTGATCTCCAGGCTGGCTTTTGGTGGCATCACACCTCCCGGGGTAGAAAGAAAATCAGACTTGGTGTCAAATCACTCTACCCCACGAAGCCTCTTTCCTTATCTGTCCAATGGGACCAGTCCTTGCCCTGGGCCGCTGAGAGCTGTTGTAAGCCATGGGTGTGGAGAGACGAAGGATACTCACAATGATGACAAGAGTGACCACCTCCACAGCTCTTACCGTGTGTCAGACACTGTTCCAAGCATGTTGCATATATTAACTTATTTCACCCTAAAACAAATCCAGGGCTGTAAGTACTGTTGTCATCCCCATTTTACATGGTGGAAGCCAGGATGGAGAGAGATGAAGCACCTTGCCCAGGGCCACATGGCAAGCAGGTGGCAGAGGTGGGAGTCAAATCCAGGCAGTCTGGCTCTGGAGCTAGTCCACATAACACACTCTGTCCCAACTTGCCCACCTCGTGGCCTGGGGCAAACCTCTTCACCTCTCTGAGCCTCAGTTTCCCATTTAGTGAGACAGGGACAAGTGCCCCCTCACAGTTGTTCTCAGCAGTAAATGACATCGTGTGCTGGCGCGCCGGGCAGGCATGTGGCAGGGATGATCAGGTGTGCGGGAGGCTCCAGGAGCAGTGGGGAGTGACAGGTGCTTCCCTTGTTCCTCAGAGTCGGCAGGCTTCTTCTCGGAGATGACAGAGGACGAGCTGGTGGTGCTGCAGCAGATGTTCTTTGGGGTCATCATCTGTGCGCTGGCCACACTGGCCGCGAAGGGCGACTTGGTCTTCACTGCCATCTTCATCGGGGCTGTGGCGGCCATGACTGGCTACTGGTTGTCAGAGCGCAGTGACCGTGTGCTGGAGGGCTTCATCAAGGGCAGATAATCCTGCCACACCCAGGCTGCCCCCGAGATGGGGCCTCTCTCTTGCCTGCACACTTGGGATAGCTTGCTTTATTGTTGAGAGAGGGGTAAGCACCCCCACCCACCTTCCGGAGCAGCCCAGGCACCAGGCCTGGGCAGGTGAGGCCCCTGGGGTGAGAAAGGAGCCCTAAAGGTGGATGCCATGAGATCTAGGCCTGGGGGCACTGGGCAGGCTTCACAATGTGTGTGAATTTTTAAAAAGAAAGGTGTCTTTTCTTCGGCCCCTGCCCAGGATGAGGGGGTCCCTGCAGGGGTGGGCCCATTACAGCCCCCTCCTGCCAGCTGCATGCTGCCAGCTCCTATTCTGTACTCACCCCCACCCCTCAGCCACTGATTTATTTATTCATCTCAGGAAATAAAGGTCTTGGAAAATGGAGAAGCTTCAGTCTTAGTAGCTGCTCTCCAACCCCCATGGGTCAGCCTAAGCTCCTGAGAGCCTCTGCCTTGGGGAAGTTTTCTGAAACCCTGGGAAATTGAGTGCTACCCTGATGGAGGAGCAGTAGAAGGAGGGCAGAGGAGAGGCTTGGCCCTGAAGCAGTGTTAGGAGAAGGGGGATGGAGGAACCAGGCTTAGGAGTGGAACTTTCTGGATTCTGTACCAGCTATCATTTGCCAAAGGACCCTGGACGAATGACTTCCGTCTCTGAACTTCACTCTTCTCATCTATAAAATGGGCACAATCATGCTTCCCACTCAGGCTTAATATGAGAACTAAGTAAGGTGATGAATGTGAAGAGCTGAAAACTGCACAACATTTAGATGTTCCATAAAAGATTGGAAGCCATTATTTCTAAAGCCACCAAGGGTCGAGTGCCCTTTCCTTTGGAAGTCCTGCCCTCCCCAACATACACAGGACTTGGAGTTACTGGGGGCGGGGCCTCCTACCTCTCAGCTGAACAGGATCCTGGGGTGGCCAGAGGCAGGCAGGAGCGGAGTCCTACAGGTTCATTTCTTTGGCACAAAGAGGACAGTCAGACTGGACATGTGAGACTTCTCTCTCCACGGAGAGTCTAGAAGGGTGTTTGGGGCACTAACCTCATTCCCCGTACCCAAATCTGTGCACGTCCACCCTGTATTCCGTGTAAGTCACGGCCTCTGTGCAAAATACCCGCTGAAAAAAGTAGATATTTTAAAAAACAAAAAATGGAGAGGAGGTTCATGCCCAGCGGTGTCCGGGGGCTGCAGTCAGGCAGAAGCCCGGGAATGCCAGTTTTTCAAGGTCCCAGTCGGCCATGCCCTACGAACATAGTGGGCGGGGGTGGGGGTGGGGCGGGGCCTTGGTCCTGCGTCCCAGACCCCTCAGAGCTCGATGGTGTCACTGGAGGCGCTGCGGGAGTCCCCGGGCTTGCAGCGTGGCTGGGCCTCACTCTGGGGTTCCCCGGCCCCAGCAGGAGCAGGGACGGTGGCAGGCAGTAGCTGCACTGTGCTGGGCAGTTGATCTAGGGGCAGACTGTCCACCGACGACAGCCCATGGCGCCATGGGTTCCAGCTGATCTTGAGCGAGCCCCGGGAGAAGCTGTCCGCTGAGCTGCCGGAGGCCGCCGCGTCAGGCTCGTCTACCACGTGTGGTGGGACCGGCCCGCGCACGCGCACGTCGCTGAGCGA